TAATAACAATAAATACTAAATTGAATTATTTCTTATTATCACAGACGATATGGTTTGACAACCGATAAAAAAAAACATTTATTTATACTGATTAACATTGACTAACAACACGACCAACACATAACCCCATTTTAACTCGGTTTGGTATATTGCATTCCCATTGCTATCCAAAGCATTGAACCAATGAACAGTCAATTTAACGAACTGCCGCTGCCGGCTGCTGCCAACACTTGAATATGTAGCGACCTGGCAACCCACATCGCACCTCAATTTGACAGTTAAACATTATCTTTGGCTCATCATGTTGGCAACACTACGCGAGAACCAAAGTGCAAGCTTTAGGGTCGGAACTCTCTCTTCCGTCTGCTGCCGAACAGTTTCTATAATTGGTGACCCCGAAAGTGAATAAAAAACACGCATAAAGTGAGAAGGAAGTGAAACATGTGCATAATTTACAAGTGAGCAAGAAATACAGAACGTTCTAGTACCTACAATGGAGATTCCGACCACGCACATTGAAATCAACAACAACACGTGCTCAATAAATCACTCATTAACCTGGAAAATGAGTCGATTATAAGCACCACGGCAGCGGACAGGGAGCACCAAGCAAACATGGCAAACGCCATACAACACGGCCACAATCAAGCGAACAACGCACCAAGCAAACATGGCAGCAACCGCCATACAAAACGGCCACAAGCAAGCAAACAATGCTCCAAGCAAACATGGCAAACGTCATACAACACGGCCACAATCAAGCGAACAACGCACCAAGCAAACATGGCAGCAATCATGCAGCAATCGCCATACAAAACGGCCACAAGCAAGCGAACAACGCACCAAGCAAACATGGCAGCAACCGCCATACAAAACGGCCACAAGCAAGCAAACGATGCACCAAACAACATGGCGACCGCCAGCAAAAACGGCCACGGCCACAAACAAACAAAAATTAATCAAACAAAAACTTAAAAAAAAAAACTCAACAAAAATTTACAAGAAAATTCAAGATGGCAGCCCGAAGTTCAAGATAAACTTTTCGCCGGGGGAGAGTGATCTGTAGCGACCTGGCAACCCACATCGCACCTCAATTTGACAGTTAAACATTATCTTTGGCTCATCATGTTGGCAACACTACGCGAGAACCAAAGTGCAAGCTTTAGGGTCGGAACTCTCTCTTCCGTCTGCTGCCGAACAGTCAACATCATAAATTACAATACTTTCCTTTTCATTTTCAATACTTAAATATTATGTACATCTTATAAATAATAAATATAATCGCACGTAGTGTTGTTACTATTTCATTACAAATAAAATATATTATATATAGACCACAGTTTCTATAAATATAATGCTAATGCATCATGCTGGCAACCCTAGACAATACTAGCTGTAAGTGGAATTCTGTCTTGCAAATTGCTGGAACTTCCCGTAACAAAAATTATTATTTTTTTAAAAACGATTAACATTTTTGAAAAAAATTTACTTCGAAAAAATTAGATTTTTGAGAAAATATAAATTTGACAAAAAATTACTTTTTTTTGAAAAAAAAAAAATTATTTGAAAAAAAAAATCTTTTTCGAAAGAAAAAATTTTTTTTTGAAAACAAAAAATTTTTTTGATAAAAAAATGTTTTCTTCATTTTGACATATTTTGGAAATTCTGAACTTTTTTTCAAAGCAATCGTACTGCTTTAACTGCATAGAGATAAAATGTCAAGCGCGTAAGCGACGCGCCGCCGTCTAACTCATAAGCATTGGTACGGAACCCATAGAAATGTAAAAAAAAATTATACTTATTGTTAAAATCTCTATAAAATATCTGATAATTTGATGTGCATATGTCTAATGATCATTTTTAACCGCCGAATGGCATTTTTTTTACTTTTTTATTAGATCTCCGAAACCGCTAGACCTGCCTTCATGAAAATTTGATCAATTCTTTATCTTGTCAATACAAGTAAAATGTTTTTTGAATTATTCAAATTGGACGCTCCGTTCTCTTAAAAACTGTTTTCGGCACTTTTTGCCCCGTATCTTCGGAACGGCTAGACCTGTCTTCGCCAAAAACTAATCAGTACGTCTCCTTATCAATACGTATCAAATGCTTAAAAATGAATTATTCAAATCGGTTGATCCGTGTTCCCGAAATCGTCGACGAAAATTTGTATCCGCACACACATACATACACGCACACACACACACACACATACACACACACCCACACACACACACACATACATCCATTTTTTCTAATAAGGTATGCCAAAATATTCAGAAACCTCTGAAACGTTTACGTAAAGATATATAAAAATTTTCATTTTCGATTTTTTTGCAATTACTATAACTTGCCCTACGGGAAGTTAATAATAACTAGTGGGGCGCATGACCACCACTATTATGCTTATTTATGCACTATTATGCTTATTTATCTATGCGCATGGCATCGTGCCTTAAGGCAAATTGCTGGAATTTCCCGTACCGTAATTAAAAATTCGAGGTATGAAAATAATATATAATTGTTTTAAATAATTTTAAATAGATTATTTATTATAAATACATACTGTAAATTTATATGTGCTTATTGGGCGACGAGCGTATTCTACAAGCATCTTATGTGTATGCTTACAAAAAATTTTTTTAATTTTTTTTTTAAATTTGATTTTTTTGATAATTTTTGAATTAAAAAAAATCGTTTCTTTTATTTTTTGAGAATTTGAAAATTTTTGAAAATGTTTGATTTTTTTTGAAAATTTCGAAATATTCTCAAATTTTTGTAAGAAATCGTTTTTTTTTAATTTTGATGTTGTTCAAAGGGTATGGGCGTGTTTCCATACAGAATTGGCCCCACCCTGGTATTTAGATAATTTTGATGCCATTTTATAGGTATTTTTGAGAAAATTCGAAATACCAAATTTCAAATCCGTAGCTCATTATTTGGCCGAGATATCAGTGAAAACATGTGAAAGTGGCCCCTTTTTTCAAACATACTTTTTGTCGGAAATATGAGAGATATCGAAAAACTGTTAACGTCATTCTATTTGTACTGATCTTGTCTATGTTGTTCATAACAAATAATGTGAAAAAATTATTTGTTAGTGCGTGAAACGATGAAAATAATTTTTCATTTTCCATTTTCTACTAGTGCGGCTTGTTTGACTACTTTTATATTAGCATCATTCAAAAGCCTGTACATTTTTCTTCTATTATTCAAAAATTCATTTAAATCTAAGTGGAACTTTGGGAGAAAAGTTGGAAAAACTTAAGATAGTGCGCGCGCTACCAGTTCAAGAACGCCCATATAAAGTCGCTTTGCAAGAGCGACGCGCAAGCATAAGGCTCGTCGTTACTGCGCGTCCCGACAAATTATGTATATAAGTATGGAAATATTTAACCAAAATTTAACCGAAATTTCATTATATTTAACCAAAAAATTTCAAAAATTTAATCAAAATTTCATTATATTATTAATTTATATGTATATATACTATAACAATATAATAAATATTTTCACATTCAAAATTTCTTAAGAAATTAAGTAAAAAAAAATCGCTACAAACAGAAAATAATTTGATAAAAAAATTTTATAATTAATAGTTTAACTAATTTGTATTAAACGTTCCTATTATTGTAATAAACATACATATATGCACAAAAGGATATTGTAATGATTTTTGTTTCTTTCCTTTTCGAACTGAACCGGAACAAACATGAGAACCGTTTTCTTAATTTTAGCGTTCCGGTAAAAAAAAATATTAGCACAACACTGCTGTATATATATAAAATTTATACAATGGTACATCAAACAGTGAACGTGGATGAATATATTATAAGATATTTTTATCCTTGCATTTAGGCCTATATAATATTTCTTTATTTTTATTTTGAAATTATTAACATCACTTTTATATTGCTCGAAAGTTCATTATAAATTTTTGTTGTGCTCCATATAACATTTCCGCTCATTTTGTTATTTTCTATTGTGTTTAATGTGAATATTTCCATATAAAATCGAGAACGTATAAAACAAGTACTATGTGAAACGAGGGATAAGTGTTTATACATTATATTTTCCATTTTATTTATAAAATATATAGTTATTTATTTTACATAATTTACAACTCTAATAGATGAATATTAACTATATAATCTAGATTTTAAATTATATATTATTGATTTTAAAACAATTTTACTTGAGCAGGGTTCATTCTGGATCATCTGCAAAAAAAAAAATTCAAGCTTTATTAACATCATGTTTCATGTTTATGATAATAGATGGATTATTATTAATTGAAATTAGTTTTTGTATGAAATGTTATCAAAGAAAATTCTACATTTTCATTTCAGAATAAATACCAAATATTTTACCAATTTTAGATTCTTGTTGAGAAGTGAATATTTCAGGTGATTCTTCAGCAACTGTTAGTTCTTTCCTTGCAGAACTTATCTTACGTGTAATTCTTTAGAATGTGGTTGACTAGGAATACCTTCAGCCACTAAACTGGCTGAAGAAAGCAAGACCGACACTTGTTCTGGAGTTGGACACCCAGCAATAATTATTTCATCAGAGGTATAGCCACCATTGTTTAAATTCTGTTCTAGCTTTACAAATGCCCCTACAACATTATTCTACAAAGCACAAGAGATTAAATTAAAAATGAATATTAAAAAGTAATTAAAAAGTTCTGCATGTTTTAAGTAATATATGTAAGCCATTTCTAGCAATGCATATATTAAGTTCAGATATGTAAAAATAAAACATTTTTCATGAAACTTTAAATTCAATATAATAATATTATATTGATCTTCTAGGATATTGACATTAATACAATATATTAAATAATTAAATTAAAATAATATATTTATTTATTTTAGAATAAGCGACATACCCTAATAGGCCTGAACAGTATGAATTCAGTATCCTTGTTCGAAAGGTACAACTGAAGGGACCTTTGAAGACCAGCAAGCCTGGCTTTCATTAATTTTGAGTTTCCTGTACTATCGCACCAATCTCTTTGGTCCAGCCCAAGGTTGTGATTTAAGTGTAGTTGACAGCTTGTTTTCATCTACATTTTGAAAAAATGTTGCAACCTAGAATTCAATAAAGCTACAGATAATAGTACTCAAGATTTTGACTGACACATATTTTGCAGATTTTAAATGAAATTATTATAATATTAAATTCCTGATACATGCAAATAATGAAATTAATAAATAGGAATTAAGATTGAACTGCTATCGTTAGTAATGTTCATTAATTTAATACATTCACGCCGGCGTGGGCCACCGGTTTCCCGCACAACACTGTTCCACCGGGCGGCGCGGGCCGCCGGTGACCCACATTTCGGAGACAATAACCACGCGCCACCTCAGAGATAAACATACCAAAATCGGGCCCGGCGTGAATGTGCGAATTTAGGTCAAAATTTTAATTAGGTATAAATAAAGTTTTTCCTTTCACTAAAAACTAATCATGCGATTTCTAATTGATATTTTTCAAACAGACTTATATTATCCGTGATTGTATTAATTATAGCGGATAAACACGCGGTTGTACCTATGTCCTAAAAGCGCTGCTCATCATTCTTAATACATTTCTAAACCTTAATACATTTTTATAATTCAAGCATTTTCAGTAGAACTATAATATTTTAGGGTTTTCGTTTACGGTTTCAACTTCCTGTAGGGTATGTTATAGTATAGTAATCTAAAAATGAACATTTTTCCATATCTTAACAACTCAAAGCTTTTTGAATATTTTGGCATGTGTGTGCGTGTGGATACAAACTTTCGTCGACGATTTCGAGAGTACAGATCAACCGATTTCTTTGATTCAAATAACATTCGATTCGTATTGACGAAGAGACGAACTGATTAGTTTTTGGCTAAGGAAGGCCCAGCTTTTCGAAAATATGGGGCAAAAATGGTAGTTTTTGAGAAAACGGAGCATCCGATTAGGATAATTTAAAAATATTCAAACAAATTTTTCAAAAATTCTAAAGCTCACTTATATACGTCAAACAAATAATTTTAACTTCGCAATTCAAATATTTGTATTTTATTCTAATCAATTCTTAGAAATATGAGATAATATGCTCTCTCCCTAAGCTGACACGACTTTTGTTCATACACATATGTTTACATTCCTTATAAACATAGTATAGTTTGTATGCACAATTATAAACACAGGGTCCGACAGATATAATGGATGGATTTCCAAGAATTATAAATATTAAATGACAACATTAACCAAAATGTTTGTTTTGCTAAATGTTTAGAGGGTTAGGTCAGCTCTGAAGTTTTTCATATCAAATATTGTCATTTCAGGCAGCATCTTTGCAAATTCTGCTTTAAATGCTTTTTAAGGCATAGATGGCTTGAGGACAGTTAGTGTACATTCTTTTTTCCAGGATGAACCTTAGAAAAAAATCACATGGAGATAGATTGAGCAAAAGTTCTGACTGACATGTTATGTGAAATGATGTGGCCTGGAAACATTTGAATTCACTTGATCTGTGCGAAGTGTCCCTTCCTTGTTAAAACTACATCTCACCATTCAATTGCTTTAACATAAGTTGCACAAAGGTCTGTGACATGTGAAATTAACAAGCGGAAATCACTGTAACAGCCATACCATGATTTCCATACACAAGAATGAAGACACCATCAAAGAATGAGCTGACATGTAACTATACGTCTTTGGAAATAATGACTACTAAAACATTATTTTATAGTGTACTCACAAAGCTCCAATACATTTTCTAACTCTATCCATATAGACAACAATGGACGCTTGTAATCAATCCATTATTTGCTGGACCCTATATTACACATCTACGAAATATGTATGATTAAATTTATTTATACAAATTTATAATAATCTTTACATAATATAAGAATAAAAATAAAAATTTGAAAATATTTAAAACAATATCAATCATTGATTAATTTGTTTTGTTATTTATTGATTGTTGAATAATATGTTTAATAAACCTCTAATGATTAATTACGAAATGAGAAGTTCATCAATTTTCCCATAAATAATAATACAAGGCTACCAGTTTTAATATTTAGTTAAAAAGAAACAGCCCGGCCGATCTTTGCCAAAAACTGATCAGCAAAATGGCCAACTGATATCTTCTGTACCTTTTATAAATTTTCAAAATAGATTCAGGATTTTGTGCGGAAACGTAAACAAATTCTTTTGCACTTTTCTGCTAATTATAAAGTAACGATTTGGCAAATTGATAAACGCGAGTTTTATTGAATAGCTTTTGAATCTTTAAAGTTCTGCTTACATATAAATGGCGAAAACAAACTTCACCTTTGAGAAATTAAACAAGAAAAAATGTGTACATTTAAAAAAAAATCCTTTTGCTTATTTTTTATGTAAAATATAAATACAGCAAATATGCTTTTACAATATTTGATATTTTGCTATGCATTTGTATGTAATACACTTAAAATAACTGAAATTCTCTTACCTTATTATTGAAATCAAGAAGAGGTGCAGCCAATAAAATAGTTGATGTTCGAATAAAATTTTCACAGGAAGTTTTCAGTTGACGATCAACATCTTTACGAGAATCTAGCAATTGTTCCTTTACTTGGGGCGTTCCATCAAGTAAAAACTCCAAAATCGCATTATTAGTTCCCAAAGAAAACAATTGCTTTCGCTTCTGAAGTAAACCAAAAGCAGCAGTCTTCACTTTGCTAAAATCCAATCGCATTTCTTTCACAGTAAAATCAACTTGAAATGGGGGCAATTTGTTCGCGTAAGATCAGTAGATGTTTGATTTGGAATAATTCACCATCAACAATTGTCTAAAAGTTAATTAAAATCATGGTAATAATTTGATAGTAATTTAAAAAAAAAGTTATATATTTATATGAAAAAT